TTTTTTTTGTCTCTCTCTCTCTCTCAAATTATTACAACCAAAAATTGACCATACCCCTAATTTTTTTGTTGCTTTCCCTTTGGATTGGAATAATATGTGTATGTTCTTCCTCTTTCTTTCCACATAGATGAACAATCATCATCCAACAAGTTTAGATCATGATCATCATCATCACCATCATCAAAAGGGTTTGAATAATCTCATGCCCTCTTCTTCCTCTGGATTAGTAATGGACAAACAACATGATCAGAAAACTCAACTCAAACAACACCAACAAGACCCTCTCCGGTGCCCTCGTTGTGATTCTTCAAACACCAAATTTTGTTACTACAACAACTACAGCTTGTCTCAGCCTCGCCACTTTTGCAAGGCTTGTAAGCGCTACTGGACCCGTGGTGGCACCTTGAGGAATGTCCCTGTCGGTGGCGGCTGCCGGAAAAACAAGCGCCTCAAAAGACCTTCTTCTACGACGACGACGATGACGACTACGACGACGACGACGACTACTACTACTGCCGCCGTCACCTCCCCGGCCCCGGATTCCACTTCCTCGTCTTCAACTTCTTGTCCCAATATGTTTTATGCCTCCACCTCCGATCTCAACGTTCCATTCTCCGGGTATGATTTAAATCCACTTGGGTTAGGGTTTTGTTCTCCTAATATTGATCATAGGGACTTTAATCTTAATGGGTTCAATTCAAGTTCGCTCCTTTCGGGCTATTCTACCTTATTTCCTCATAACCCATCTTCTTCAACCTCCATTTCTTCATTGCTTGCTTCCAAGTTCACCAATGGTGTTGGGTTCAAATCCACTGATCCGAATCTATTTGGTAATAACCTAGCTGGGTTTGGTCACCATCATCAACAACAAGTTGATCATGTGATGGGATCCAACGGTGGAGATCAATTAGGGCTGAATGTGAAAGATGTGAAATTGGAAGATGGGATGAAGAGGCTAAATTGGGATGATCAGCAGAATCAAACGGATGAAATTGCTACCCAATCTAATGATCATAATCCACTTTACGGCAATTGGAGCTCTCAAACCTGGCACGATCCTGAAAATCTTGCTTCATCTATCACTTCTTCTCTCATCTAGGGGGGAAATGAATTTTAATTTAAACCCCACCTTCATCTCTTCGCTAGATCTTACAATTTCTTCATTTTTTTTTTCTCTACTTGTTGTGAACTTTAATGGGTCTGGTTTGGTTGTGAAGAACAAAATAAAGTAGCAAACTTGGGGATCGGAGTGTTCATGTCAGCAGCAAGAAGGATATGATCCAAATTGAAAAATTTTCACTTTTTCCACGAAAAGTAAGAAAATTTTTCATTTTTCATTTCCATTTTCCATTACCCATATGGATTTTGCGCTGAGAGGAACCTCGGATCCCTGACTTTCAATGTCATCATCTCCCATGCAAGAGATCAGTGGAAGGAAGGCTAGAACTTGTTCCCTTTTTTTTTTTTTTTTTTTTTTTTTAAATTNCAGTAAGTTGGGTTTTATTTGGTTGCGTTGTAAATATAGGGGAGAAAAGAAAAGGGGTTGATTTACAGTATTTGAGGTAGGGTTTAGTGGGGTTTAGTGGGGGCTGGTATATGTTATGTTCCACTTGAGGTTAGAGTTTTGTTTATTTGGTGGGGGCTGGGTATAATGGTGTGATGGTATAGAGACGGGGGGGAGATTTGGGTGTTTCAAAACATTTGTATTAATCTCACTTTAAATTCACCTCATCATATGCTAAATCTCAAATTCTTGCCTTCCATTATTTTCTTATGTTCATTCATTTTATTTATCAAATATTTACCAATTCCAACTAATTACCAATTCTACTATTATTCTTAATAATAATGATTTTTATTAAGTCCTAATTGATTCATTATTAATGTTGTAAACAATTAAAAATTAGTTTCAAAGAATAAAGTTTTTTTTTTTTTTTTTTTTTGTTTGAAAAGATGGAAGAGATTGATTTTGCCTATTCTTTTACATTGTTTCTTTAGGTATTTAGAAAAAATATATTTTTTTATAAAAAAAAAGTTACTATTTTTTTAAAAATAAAATAAAAACTAGAAATAATCAAAATGGTCCATCCTTGATTCATTGTATTCCCTTTTAAATTAAATCAATAAACAAAATAAACTCCCCCTTTTGTTGGGAGACTACTGCCTATGGGCTTTTCTCAACTGAATCACTCTGTACTTGGCCCAAAAACAGGCCTGCCGAATTATATATATATAAGTTTAAGATATTTAGTCTTTCAGTGTGATCTCACGTGCCCCATGCTATCTGGATCAGAGCATAAGATAATGATGCTTTCCGCTACTGAACTCTTGTTATCTAGAGTGCAGCAACCCGCCACCTCGCATAATAATATGATATTTGTATTTCCCTCTCACAACTCTAATTTCACTGTCTCATCCTGACTGTAAGGTAAGGTAAATATAATCCGTATCTTGAATGATTGACTAATGAACCTCATTTGGTTGACTCCCTTGCTCGAAAGTTGTGTCCAACAGGCAATCAACACATAATGGGATTTGGAAGTTAAACAAAGAGTTGTTCCACAAGCAAGCCCAAACTTAATTAAGCGTTCTCCTTTTCACATCTGTGCTATAGAATGCGATGTCTTAAGCTAATCAAATCAAATCAACACACCCATTTTTATGTACGAGTGAGTATCAAATCCAAAAATGGAACCCTTTCATATTCATTCAAATTTGTTGCAAAACTCCAAATACAGTAATCCGGGTAGGGAACAAATACACCATCAACAGATATTGTCATTTTTAGACTTTGGCTTTAAAACCGGTCGGCTAGGGAAAAGTTTCCACACCCTTATAAAAGGATGGTGGTTTGTTCTCCTCCCACAATCCACCCGCTTTGGGCCCAGCGTCTTTACTGACACACCACCTCGTGTCTACCCCCTTTGAGAAATAACGAGAAGGCTGGTACATCGTTCGGCGTCTGGCTCTGATACCATTTGTATCGACCTAGATTCACGGATATTGTCCTTTTTAGGCTTTCCCTTTCGGGCTTCCTCTCAAGGCTTTAAAACGTGTGCTAATAGAAGGTTTTCATACCGTTATAAAATGGTGGTTTGTTCTCCTCTCTAATCAACGTCGAACATCACAATACCAACCAACAATTTGCAGAAATTATGCCACACTCGTCAAAGTGGTGACAAGAAACAACAAATTTAGAATTGATTTCTTGTCATTTTGAATGGACAAAACTCGGACTTATTAAGAACAATGAAGATTATTTTGAAAGGGACGTGCAACGAGGTGGCAGACCCAACAATATTCTGGCTTACTCAGAAACCATGATGCCCACCACTTTATTTGAAATTGACGAACCCAATTGATTTTTTACGATAAGATTCTGTCGCCCAAAAACTTGATAGATTAATTATAATATACAAGTTGATTAAAATTCAACGTTTGCAATGCATCAACGGGGATTGTCATGATATCAATTAAGATATGAGCGTGGTATCAGATGCTGTAAGCTACTTTGTTTGATTGGTAAAACCATATTAATTTATTCAATCAAATTATCATTAATTCTCTCAATTTTCTTAGTGGGTTTGGCTTGGTGCATTCTTACTTAAAATTCAAACGAAAAGTAAACACGTGCATGCATGCAACGAGCTAACCTCAAGAGACAAAATAATGAGAACAATGATCGCTGAGCTATATGTTTATTTAACCTATAGATATCGATTTCGAATAAAACAATTACTAATTTACTTTATATGTATAGTTATAAGTGTCAGAAAGATTAGGTTATATTTTTTAAGTTTGAATTTTTGAAATTGATGTCTAACTTTTAGGACCATTAAATTTGAATTTTCCAAAAAGAATATTTTTCTTAAAAGGTAAATATATAAAATGAATTGAGAAAAATTTGAAAGATGAGAATAAGGTAATCTTAACTCTAGCAAAAATAAACAGGAAGTAAAATAAGAGACGGAGAATGCTTCTCTCTCCCTACTCAGCTGATATTCAGCAAAACCACGAGAACTTGTGCTCAAATCAACTAATAAACGTTTCATTTTAACTGTGATTATAAACAGGATTACATGGAAACAAATAGCTTCCCTTCTAAAGGATATTAAATGCGAGGTCAAAATAACTTTTTTTTTTTTTTTTTTTTTTTAA